GACACTCGCTCTACGTCTCCCCTCACAAGAACTCAGCAGGCTGTCTCACGCCGAACTCCTACACCTACAGGATAAACAGCAGCCCGTCTAAGGCAAGAACACACTGTCACTCACACACACGGCGCCAAAGAGTCTCTGTAACAGGACCGGGCTGTATCTGCGATAAAACACAATCTGCCGTTAGTTCTATAAGGTTGTAAAGGACGGCACATCCATCGAAGACTCTGAGTCAAATGGATGAAACAGTTCTGTGCTTTATAGCTGTTGTATCACTCGGCCTGATTGGGAAACAGAAATGTGTTGTTTTACACTTTTCTCTGAAGTGTCTGTTGTTCAGTGTTGTTTAACATCCCAAAACTTTTTAGTCATCTTTTTCGATTCTAATATTCTTGTGACAACTGAATTTATAGTTGGGGGTCTCTCCCCTTTCAAAATAAGTGCCCAGAAGCATTTCAAAGATGGCTGCAGAGTGGTGGGATTTGCTTCTAAAAGACTGTTGTATTTAACCGTTTCAGCCGAGTAAGGTCCTGTAACTCCTAAACTTCCTGTTGATAATTTTAGTCTAATTTAAATCTTGGTCTCATCAGTGTAATCAGTCATCATCGAGAACAAAGTCTTAAAAAGATTTTGGGTCAGTGAAAAGTGTTGATGGCCTGTAGAAGCGTGTTTTAAACACTCTGCTCAGGACACATGAAAGGTTTTGTACTAGCTTGTTGTCGTTATCAATAGCTGTTTGTGTGTTGGGAGGGTGTTAAGAGCTCTGATGTACAGCTGGGACATAAACCCAGATTTACAAAAATCCTTCCAGGAAAATATCCTGTACAGATTAGATTTAAAAAAACAAAAACATTTATCATTCATATCATCCACAAATATGAATTTGTCTGAATCACACCCTGAAATTTCTCCTTTTTTTTTTTTTTATCTGAAAGTGTTAGATAATACAGTATTAGATAAGAGCAGATTCAGGAAGTTGGGAGTGCACAGTGCAGTGAAAACTCATAACTAACAATAATGTACTATAAAAATAAAATGAAAGCAATACTTCAGTGTGTCCTTTCCTCTCTGCAGGAGCTGTCAGACATCAACCGGATGATCCGGCAGGGCTGCGTGAGCAGGAAGAGAGCCTTCAACATGGAGGGGGACGTCATGATGTCGTCGGCATGCGACTCCCCGAGTAAGAGGGCGTGTCCGGAGAACGGCAGCAGCCCAGATGTGCTGCTGAAGCGCCTCCAGGATGTCGTGTCGGAGCGGCAGAGTCACTGATGGGCCGACAGAGGGACAGAAACTCAAACCTGAAACAAAGTAATGAAGCATTAAGATTAACGGCTCCTCAGGTTCAAAAAGAAAAATCCAGCGACACACAGAGACGTGTTTGATTTCAGGAAACGTAAAGCTAAGGTGCCTGTTTTATGTCTCACATTTGATTTTAATCCAAGGGCACAAGACACCGAACGCACAG